GCAATAGCGAAGTTCAAAATAGTCCCTTGCCGAAGTCCAACCAAATGTCTGCCCAAAAATGTCGAACCAGATCCTGGGCCAATGCCCGTGACAACCCCTACTTGTAGCCCTGCAAGTAAACCACTCTCACTCTCGTAGGCTGCCGAAGCAGTGAAGTCAGATAGTGAGAGGGTAGGAGAGAGATGGTGGACTGAGAGGAGGAAGAGGAAGAATTCTCTCTCTCTCTTCTGGATGCCAGGTACTAACCGGTGATGGTGGCGCTGTGCAGCAGGTACCTCGCTGGCGAGCTGGAGCTATGGCGCCTCAGGTAAGTCACTCGGTSAGTGGCGCTCTGCTGCAGGTACCTCRAGGACGAAGCTGGAGCTATGGCGCCACCGGTAAGCATCCCTGGCCTCCGCCAGCCTCCTCTCTCCACTACTCTGGTCTACTGCTACTAGCGCCCAACGCTGAAGACTACTGCTAACGCTACTCTACTACTGCAGCCGAATCCTGAAGACTACTGCCTCCTGTAGAAGTGCACGTTGAGTGCCTGGGCAGTCTCCTCTCGTCTGTCCCAACCTGTAGGGCGGGCCAGTCTTATATAGGGTTGGCCCATCCAGGAGGCTGCTCTTGCCAATGCCTGCAYGTGCTAGCCCCTGAGGAAGCTTCAGGGCAGGTCACTCCTGCCAATGCCTGGACGTGCTAGCCCCTGAGGAAGCTTCCGGGCAGGTCACTCTTCCTCATGCCCGGCTGTGCTTGTTTCAGGGAAGGTCGGTCTGACGAGGGCCCGAGAATAGCCCTCAGTTTCAGGCTAAGAAGGCTCAGGCCTTTTTTTTAGGCTGAAACAATGCAGGGGCCCTGGGCCCCGGATGTAAGGCTTTTGGGTTGAACCGTCATGGGGCCAGTAGGCCTGGAAATAGCCCTCATTTTCAGGCTGAAAAGGCTCAAGCCTTTTTTAGGCTGAAACGATGCAGGGCCTGTGGGCCCCGGATGTCAGGCTTTCGAGCTGAACTGTCATGGGGTCTGCAGGCCCGGGAATAGCGCTCAGTTTCAGGCTGAAAAGGCTCAGGCTTTTTTTTGGCTAAAACGATGCAGGTCCTGTGGGCCCCGGATGTCCGGCTTTTGGGCTGAACCGTCCTGGGGTCTGCAGGCCCTTATTTCCAGGCCTTGAGCCTGAAATTCAGGCTTCAGCCTGAACGACGCAGGGCCTGGAAAATGGCCCTCGTGTGCAGGCGCAGCATGTAACACTTCTCTGATTGGAGACTGTTAGCAAATCTTCTTAGGTGTGCCTGTTGCTGTCATAATTGTAGATCTGCGGTTTTTCGATGCCATAACGACGTTGGTCGGTGCTGGGGTGTTGCCCTGTAACCTGCAAAGCAGGAGCATGAGGCCTGGTAGAGAGATCTGGGGATGCTTAGGGGCGGGCATCTCACGAAATAATCAAGGGTTGCTGCTTGGAGGATATCGGTCGGAGCTGGGGTGAGTTGTGTTGCCCTGTAACATAGCGGTGCGGGTGTGAGGTTGGGCAAACTCAGGCAAAGAGTATGATTGCGTTGGCGAGCCTGAGTAGGGTTGTTACAGTCTCCTTGACTTTTCTGCAAATTGTCAACTAGGTATTTTTTAGTCAAAAAACATACGATTAAGGGAATCAGATTATTCGCACGGACGGGGGGGAAGTTTGTAGGGGAAGGGCCTTAGTCTTCGTCAATAGGTCAGAAGGACGTGGTTGGGACGACGCAGGCCGGTGCTGGAGCGTTGCTCTGTAACCTGGGGAGCGTGAGGCTTGGGGAGTTCTGTCGAGGGAGGAAGGCAAAACCACCACGTTCGACGTAGCCGTTGTTGGGGTTTTAATGGGAGTTGTCGAGGGAGGAAGGCACTCCTTGCCGTCTATACCAGGCTGGTCGGTAATGGGACATGGTGGTGCCCTGTAACCATAACATAGGGGGTTATGAGACCAGCTGCGTTTAGGTTCAAGGACTGATCACGGGGACGTTGTTTTCTTCCAACTGTTGCGTGGGAAGTTTGCTAGTCGGTGGTTTCAGTTCGGATTTTTTGCTTTCAATTTGTTGTATGTCACTCATGTCTTATCTCGTTAAAAAAAAAACAAAAAAAACAACGGGCGATATGTTCAGATATGGCTATCCTCTAGAGGTTGTGATTGTTCTCGGTGGTTGTGGTAGAACGCTTTTAGGCTCTTGGGACTCCTTGCATTTTCCTTGAGGCGATTTTGATGTTGTTTTATTCATGGACCTGCGGTTGTTCGGATGCCAGAACGACGCTGGCCGGTGCTGGAGGGTTGACCCTGTAACTTGTTGACAGCAGGAGCTTGAGGCCCGGTAGAGAGATCTGGGAATGCCTACGGGGGGGCATTTCACGGGACAATCAAGGGTTTCAATCGAAGACGATGCTGGCCGGAGCCGGGGTGAGTTGCCTTGCCCTGTAACCTATAGCGGGGGTGAGAGGCTTGGTAGAGCTTGGTAGGGAATAAGACAGTGTCTGAGGACTTCGAGGGTGTTAGGACCCTGTGGCGCTTTAGAGTGTTTGAAGACAATTGCTGGGATTTTCGCTGGTGGATAGTCTCCCAAATTTACCTCAAATAGCATTGATTTTTGTTTAAAAAAAAAGAGTGTTTTAGGATTCTGGGGACTTCTAGCAACTCGCTTTAGGCTGTTTGATACTGATACGTTCATGGATCTGCGGTTGTTCGATGCCAGAACGACGCTGGCCGGTGCTGGGGTGTTGCCCTGTAACCTGCTGATTGCAGGAGTGTGAGGCCTGGTCGAGAGATCTGGGTATGCTTTGGGGTGGGCATTCCAAGGGACAACCAAGGGTAGCTGTTGGGACGACGCTGGCCGGAGCTGGGGCGAGTCGTGTTGCTCTGTAACCTAGCCAGGTGGGGGTGTGAGGCCTGGGAGAGCTCGACAGGGAATAAGACAGTGTTGGACAGTTTTAGAGAGTTTTGTTTGGGAGTCTAGGGGTTCTGAGCATTCGAAAAGAGGTGAGTAGTCATTCATAGTTTTTTAACCTCTCCTTTAATTCTCTTGAATTTCTTCAATAGTTCTCAGATTGATTCTCAGCCGAAGCCGGGTAATGGCCCCAGCATCTCAAATGACTTGTGCAACTCTATATGGGACGCTGGGCCCGGTTCCCAGCACGTGCTGCTCCCCAGGAATAGACTGGAGCATTTGTCCAAAAAAAAAAACAAAAAAACAAACACAGACATGTTAGAAGATATTCAAGATAATAAAGAAAAAGAAACTCAAGCAATTTATTAATAGTTTAAGAAGAAGAAGAAACAAAAGAAGAAAAGAAACAAACCTTGAGGTTGGGAAAAGCTGTCTGAGTAGGATGTAGGAGTCTTGGGATAATGCGGACCACAAAACTAAGGTAGCATCGTCCACCCACCTGTCGCAAAAAAAAAAACAAAAAAAAACAGTGGAGCAAAATTCAAACAATGTTACAATTCCAAATATGATTATAAGCTGTGTTACTAGGCGGGCGGCCCGGCCGGGCCAGGTCCAGGCAAAGTCCCGGTCAAGGTCCTTAGGCTACCTCCCGGGTCACCCTATTTTACTGGGCGGTCCGGCCGTGCAAGGACCCGAGAAGGTCCCAGCAAAAAAAAAAAAAAAAAAACCCGAAAAATATCTATGTTATGCAGAGAAAAGTAAACTGAACAACGTTTGCCTCAGGGTCACATCAAAATTCGTTACCAGATTAAAAAAAAAAAAAAAAAAAAAAGTTCTTTTTCTTTTTGGCCCGGCCGGGCAAGTGGTCCCGGGCCACTCTGGCAGCCTAGAAAAAATCTGAAAAAAAATAGTCATGCAGAGTTGCAAAGCAAACATCTTTTGCCTGGGGCATGGTCCCACTAGCAACCGGATAGGATAGAAAAGAGTTTGTGTGGCAGTTAAGTGACCCAAATCCTGCCGTGCAGTACTGGTGATCCCACGGTCAGTGTTTTACATTTATTACCCGAAAAAGTAAGGAGATCTTGGTTCCCCTCCTCCTCTCCTTAACACTGGGCATGCGGGTGCAAAGGAAGCTTCCCGCCAAAATCTTTTCAATCCGCTGGGGGCATGGCCAACCCCAAAAGAGAACGAGGTCGGCCATAGGCCCACTGGATAGAAGATTTTCAGTATTTTGCTCTCTGTTGTGCAATTAGCTCATTGGTGGAGCCCTCCTTCACGGGCATCAGGATCACTGCTGACAGAAGTTGAGTTTATTCCAGAAAATGTGGCAGCTACTTTCTGCACTGTTGTTGCAACCACCACCATCAGATCATTTGTGATCTGATGGCTGTGAAGCACTCTGCCGTGATTTCAGGTGTTTCCTTCCTTTCTCCTGTTTTCTCACCCCAGAAATTCGTAATGAACCTGTCAGGCCGCTGCCACTCAGTGTCACACTGGATCGGCCACGCTTCTATCCGACTGCTAATGGGACCACACCCCTGGGGTCTGGTCCCACCTACCGTTGTTGAGTTTAGAAAACTGAACGGTGTGATGCCATTTTGACATTAATAAATTCGCAACAAGAAATAAAAAAACTGAAAAAAAAAAGCTAGAAGCAGCTTTTCTCCTTATTTTTTATAACATAACTCGGAGAAATGAAACATGTCTGGAACAGTCGGAGTGAATGTCTCCGTGAAAAAGGGATACTCCCCATGGTGAGGGGACAGGAGGTCACCATTTGTAAAATGGACAGGGACAATGTGGATGGCCAAATGCATTCATTGCCCAAAGAAAGAAACGAGTTTGATGCCAGACAGCCAGACACAGCTGTCAGAGAGAGTTCCTCCGTTTCAGGATGCAATGATGTCTAAAAAACCAAAAAAAAGGAAAGGCACTGCAGTTGACAAATGTACCCTACCCTCAGTAGGGTAGTTTTCTCAATGGAAAATGTTTTCCCGCCCAAACCAAAAGGGCCAAAGCATACTACAAAACAGATTTCACGTCAAAGAAAAATTCTACAAAATGACAAAATCTAATAGGTTATTCTCCTGTATTTCGGTACCATTAGATCGTATATGTATAGCTGAGCCGTATGAAAAGGAACACATCAACGGCAGAGCTCCGTCCCACCATGCCACATGTGATAGAAAGCTCAGCGTTGAGAAAACTCAACGCTGTAGGTGGGACCAGACCCCTGAGGATGACAACAAATCCCGCTATGGAACAACAACAACAATATATATATATATATATATATATATATCGTCACAAACAGAACTGCCCGGTAAACCGTAGGCAGAGAGAGAGAAGAGGACAACAAACGAGGGGCTGTGACAAACTGTTTCGTCGGAGTTTCACCGACTCATCATACCCCTTTAGCCCCCTTTAAGCCCCTTAGACTCTTCGAGGCCTTTTGAACCCCTCTTATACCCCATAGACACCCTTTGGTGCGATATCACCAAACTCAGAGATAAGATTGGATTTGGGCACGGCTCAGTGGGCAGAAAATTGCCCCACTGCGCAGAAAAAACAAACAAACAAATTGACCCCCTTTTTGGTGTCGCCTGGGTACCCCGGGCTGGTCACCCCCCGTCCAAGTTCGCCCGGGTCGCACGGACGGGAGGCCCGGGCCAGGTGACCTCGGTAACATAGATTATAATGACATTCATTCTTCAATCATTAATTTAACTGAATCAGAGATTCAGAGGCAATTCGTAAGCATACGACCAACCAACTGCGAGTCGACCACAAGGATCGAACGCGTGACCTCCAACTCGGAAGGTAAACACTCAACCAAACGAGACAGAAGAGGCAGACTGCGGCAAACAGCCTGTCAGGAGACGTCAGCAGCAGGAGGTACAGCATGCAAACTTAGGGCCTCGCCACACCACTCTCTAAATGTGAAAAAGACAAAAATGTGGCGGGTGCATGTGGCCATGTTCTTGCGGGAAGTTCGTTCTCAATTTGCACATTTCGAGAGTGGTGTGGCGGTGCCCTTAAGAGATAACAAACTCAGAGCAGCGACCGAGACTTAGCAAACTGTGTAAATCACAGAAAACGAAAAAGTTTCCAAAGTTCGAATCTCGCTGCAAAGAAAAGTATCCACATTTCACACATATAGGGCCTTGCTGCACTACTCTAGACTCTCGAAATATTTCGAGAGTTCGGCTAGCGTTGTCAGAGAGGCGAGACTCTCGAAATACCCGCCTTCGCTGCACTTACTCTATAACCTATTACACTAGGTGAACTCTCGAAACCCTGGGCATTGTCCTACTCTACAGAAGAGCTTCACCACTGGGCTACGGAACAAAGTCTGGCCACCGGGACAGGAGGTCCACTCTCGAAAAACGAGCCTGTCGGCGGGCAACTCCCGAGGACACTTGCAAATTCAGCTGTTGCAGGCGGGGGACTCTGGACGTTTCGAGAGTTGCGTGATAGTGTGGCTTCTGACAGCTCTCGATCGGGTTTCGAGAGTTTCCCGATCGAGAGTAAGTGCAGCGATGACCCACTCTCGAAAATTCAAGAATCTAGAGTAGTGCAGCGAGGTCCTTGGCACCATAGCTAGTACTCCCAGGAAAACGACAAAGTAGATCCCTCTACCGGTTTCATCCTTCTACTAGCGGACTCATCAGGAAGGTATGCTCACAACGAGCAATCTTGTCGAAAAGAGGCCTAAAGCCTTGCCTCTTGTCTGATATATAGTAAAAATCTCATATGCTCATCGGCTAGGTCTATTCTCCAATAAAACAAAACGTAAATAATAAATATAAAATAAATTAAAATAGAATAGAATGAACCAAAGCTCTCACTCTTGAAAACTTTACTTTCGCAGACCGTACTTGTCCCAAAAACTTACCTACAGTCATTCTAAGGGAAACTAACAGGTAAAAGCCGAACAGAGTAACTCAGAAAAGGAAAAAGAAAAACAAATAGTACGAAAATAAAAATAAAAATAATCTAAAGTGGCCGAGAACGGAGAAAAACCGGAGAGAAGTCATCCGTCGGGTCTTTATCTCCCCGGATGTCCGTTCTACAGTTATAGATCTAGGATCTCCCTAGCGACCAGCTCTTGCTTCTGGCCGCGGTTATCGAAACGTCACGTGGTCTGCCAGAGGTCCTGGCTTCGAGATCTGACTCTCTCTTCTTCGTGTTCCAGCAGAGTCGGACAGTACTGACCAGAAAATCCAATGCTTCATGCGTCGTAGCCTTGGCCAATTGGTCAAGGCGCTCAGAGAAATCTCCGGGGAATAGCCCCGGAGGATACTTTCTGTCACTGCGTACGCAATCGAGCTCATACAGAGTGCCTGCGACGTCGAAGAGAACCACAATCTCTTGAGTGTAGCAGACAATACTCCTTTCTTCGTCTTCTTGTCAGAGTAGCTGGCAAAGTCCTGCATAGACTGATACCGAAGTGATCTAGTCTGACGCAGGGACTCTGTGTTCTTGATTTCTTGAACATAGTGCAGTTGTACAGGGTCCGACATGATGTACATCCTTCCTCCGATGAACTGCCAAGAATTCGTATCGTTGTCCTTACGAATAAGCTTGAGCTTGTGGTCGTACGTCTCCTCAAAGGCCTCTAGAATTTTAGTCGCTTTACCCCAAGAGCCGATTTCCCTGCTGCACCCAAGAACGATGGAGACATCGTCCACCATCCTCCATCCCATGACTAGCTTTCTGTCTGCACCCAGACTGGAAAGGAATTTCCATTCGGCCATAGCACATGTCACTGTGGCCAACACCGGGCTGGTCGTCCTACCCATAGGGATGCCAGAAAACTGTCTCCTTATCACGTCTCCGTGTAGCATGTAGGCATGCAGAAGATCATAGTCAACCACCGCTCTGATCATGTCCATCTTAACTGAAATAAAACCAGGCTCCTTACGATTAGTTTTCAACGACAACTGGCAAAGTTTACCTCTTGTCGCAACCCTTTTTTACTTGTTTCCAGCCTTGCTCTTCGAAGTGCATCACCAAGTCAGATATTGCGTCTTTCACCGAAGCGTGAGATATCGAAGAGAACATCTCTTTGATATCGTTACATCTCCCGATAGCCATGTCACATCCCTCCTTGCTCAGGATGCCTTCCGCTTGCTCGAGGTCAGCTCTTAGTTCATACACGGACTTCAAGTGGAAGTTCCTCGTTCTCGTGAATCTTGAAATAAGATAGTGGAGAGCTCTCGCGCCTCGTCTCTGTGCTAAGACCGCAGGATCGGAACGGGAAGGGGCAATCGATCTCCATCTCAAAAGATCTTTGTCCTTAGGTATCACGTAGGCTTTACCCAGTGCACCGTCTTTCTTCCACACTCCTATCTCCGAAAGTCCGGCATCCTCGTAATCTTTCTTACACTTAGTTAATATATCAACTTCCGTGCAGTGAGCGGTCTCATAATCAGGGTTCCAAGTGAACGTAGGACCGAATGCGTGCCTATAGATAACTGGACAGACTAAAGCTGTATC